TGTTTATATAGTATTTAACCATATATTTATCAATTTTTATCAATTTTTATCAATTCTTTATTAAGTTATAAATAAAATATAATTGTAATTTTTTTCTTAACACACTGTTTATATTGTATAAATAAATTTTTTATTCAATTAAAAAGAAAGAAATTTTTTATTCAATCTATAAAAATCAAAATTATAAATTTCTAATTCATTATACAAAAGAACAAAAGAAAGAATTACCACCTATGAAACTTTACTTTATAAATATAAATAAAATTAATAAATATAAATTATTACAAAATATTAAACATCTAGCAATGGTATGACCTTTCTTTAAGCTAGTTATTAGAAAGAGGGAATCAGATAAAACCAATATTTTAGTAAATATTTTTCTTGGTAATAAAGTTGAATATATATATATAAATAATAATAATAATAATAGATATATTTCTTATAATAATTTAATTATATATGAATATTATCTTGATAAGTTAAAATGGATATTTATAAAAAATATATATAATATAATTTCAAAAAATCCAAAAGCATCTTTCTATAAAAATATATGATTTAGATATACAGTAGTACCCAAAATTATTTGAAATTTTTTTCAATATGTACAACTTAGTAAAAACTTATTTAAATTAAATACAAATTTAAATATAGATAAATGAATACTATAAAATTACTTTTACTTATAACTAGTTTATTTTTTTATTTTTTTTTTTTTTCCAACTAGTGAGGTCTTGCCCAATATACTTTATTTAGTTTATATGTGTATTTCTCGTTACAAGGCTTACTATCTATAAACTATTCTAGATGCATGTTTTGCTATATTGATTTGACTTCATATCGGCTTGTTGCTATTGACTTACCTTGCGACGTATGTCAAGGCTAATGTGCCAAGGCTCTGTTAGTGTTGTTATTGTATGAATAATAAAAGAAATTGAAATTTATTATGTTTTTTCCCCGGTCCAACTAGTTTTCTAAAAGTTTTTTTTGTAATCTTCTTGCTTCTTCCATTCTTTCGAGTGGTGACCTGTGCTGTCCTATATGTGTGGCTTGGGTATCAACTTGAAGTCTTTATTTTTTTCCTCTTTTTTCTTTTCTGCTTATGTTTTCTTCTTTTTCCCATTACTGAAATCTCTCACATTTGTGGATCTAGAGTTTTCAGAGTTTCTCTATCATTCTGTTTGTGACTGTTTTCAGTATATTTTTGATTTTTTTCCCATTGATTTGTCCCACCAGCTTAGTGAGGTTCTTTTTATAAATTCTCTTGATTATGTACCTGATGGTTCTTTCCAAGTCATTGATGATGAATTTAAGTTGTTCTTTTCAATTCTTTTTTCTTTCTTGTGTTTCTATTCTGCTTGCTATTTCTTCTTTTAGTATTTGTAGGTATGTAGTTCTAATCTTGTCCCTGTAGTATTTGCTGAACACGTGTTCTGTGGTTTCCCATCTGTTACACCAAGGGTATATTTATTCTTGTATATATCTGGCCTTCTTTCATTTAGCTTGTTCTTGGTGGGGAGCTCTTCATTGAGTAGTTTGTATCTGAAATCTCTGTTGTTATGATCTTATTGGTTGATATAAAAGCTTGTAATCTTTAATGATAACAGGCTTGCTCACGTTCTTCTCCAATCTATTATTTTCTCATCACCTGTGTTTAGCTATACTTTGTGTCTCCTTTGTATTGCCCATGTACTGATCCATTTGCTGTTTTGCTATTGCTTTATGAATCTATTGGTTTCTATGTTCAGGTCTTTACCATTCCATTGTAACATTCCTATCATTTCTTTTATGTGTTGACAGTTTATACCTATAATGTATGTATGGTCAAGCTTGTTGCCTTTCTTGGCCAGTTGGTCTGCATAATCATTGTATTTTACTCTTGTATATTCTTTAATCTTATTTAGTATTGTTGTTGCTATCCTATCTTTGATTTTCTCCTAGATGAGTGTTGTTGTGAGTATATTTGTTCCTTTTGCCACCTTTTGTTTTACTGTAGCTTCTAATTATATCATCTGAATTACACACTGGTTGTCTATTAATATGGTTGCTTCTATTTTTGGGTTAAGGAGTATTATTGCTATCAGTATTGTCATTAATTCTGCTCTTGTGGATAATGGGAAACCTTCGTATCTACCTTTGAATTTTATTTCTTTAAGTGTTTTCTTATTGATAATTATGCCTCCTACTTCCATTTTTATCTAATTGTTATCATATTTTTCCATTGATCTATCTGTATATACTTTTGTGAATCTCCAATCTTGTATTTGTTTTTGAATATTATAACTAGTTTATAGATTATATTATTATTATTATTTTAAATAATTATTTTTAATCAAAAATTTCATGTTATATTAATTTTATAACTTGATTTTCATAAAATTCAAGTTTTTTTATATGATTTTATGTGTTTTTTTATAATAAATAATATAAAATTAATATATTTTTTAAAACATGACATTAAAAAAAAAAAATGTAATATTTAAATAATATTATTAATTAATATAAAAACATTTTAATTAAAATTATTTATTAATACTAAAAGACTTATATTTAATTTTTTTATATTTTTTAAATTAATATTTATTAAATAACAATGCAATTTTTAATTTTTTAAAAAATTTTTCCAAAAAATTTTGGGTACCACTGTATATCATCAAAAAAAATTTCTAATGTAAAAGCATTTTTACCTAAACAAAGTATAACAATTGTTTTTAAGGATTTGTGTCTCACTTCAGAATATATATAGAATTGAATTGATCAATTTTTGGAAATGAATGACATTAGAATATTTTATACATATATGTAATTAAGGATGAATTCCTAAATTATTTAGTATATAAAATTTCACAGATTAATTATGTCTCTTTTGAAGGAAAATAATTATTTATTCTTTACTTTAATAGGAACATAATTCAAAAAACACTTGGATCAAGTGGCCTAAATTGCAATAAAATTTTGTAGATAGTTTTTTTTTGACCTTATGTTTAAAAAAAAACTTTTTTAATAGTAAGGGACATTTGAATTATGTTCTTGCCTTTAATTTAGGGATCCATCTTTATATGTAATGCAGAAATATCATAAAATTATTACATTTATACATGAAAATATCTCTCATTTAATAATTTTAACTCTGGTAACTTGTATGAAGATATTTCCAAGATTATTAGATATTATTCTGATGATATAAAAAATACATCAATGGTCATTAATAGTTATCTGTGAAAAGGTGAATTTATTGTATTTGATTTCATTAAGTCAGAAGATAATTCTCTAGCAATTTGGTTAAGGTTCGATACTCCATTAGATTTGCAGAAAAAGTTAAAATTGTGTCAAAAGAAAAGAATAAAAAGCAAACTAGCTGATACATAAGAAAAAAATATAAATTAATCATTACGAAATAGCAGTAAATAAAAATCTAAAGTATTAACCCTCAAGAAGTAACATAAATATTTTTTGCCCTGAATGTTCTCTGACGCAAGTTTACATCGATGATATCCAGGAGAAGTGCTTTAATCTTATTATATACCAATGTTCTTGCTGATTGATCATCAATTTTATTTACACGTTTAATGTCTTCAGTTCGATCCTCATATGCTTTATAGTAACAATACCAGCATAAAATCTCTTTTTGTCTAACTTTCATTGCTATAACAAATAAATCTGCTATATTTTGTGCTGTAATTTTGCTAGATCCTGTTATAATTACTTCTAGCGAGAATTCAGGAGTTTGTATATCAAATACTTCACTAACTTTATTATTAATATTTTCTTTAATGAATACAGATAAATCGTGTCTTAAGACTTGCTCCACTCTTTTGTTGTATGAAATTTTGATTCCGGTATTTTGTGCTTGATCAGTAGGCATTGATTCTAATCGGGTAGTTTTATGATCATGGGTAGTTTCAATAATAGGATTTATCTCAGTAGAAATTGCATTTTGTGTATCAGAAGAGGAAGATGTTTTTCGTACCAATTGTTGCCCTCGGCAAATCTTCTTTTCCCTATTTCTTTCTCTTTCCATATTACTAACCCTCTCCTTTTCCTGTAATTCCAAAAATTCATTAATTTCTTTCTCTTCCGATGATAAAGTTCCTATAGGAATAGGAGATGTGAAAGATCGGCTATCCTTTTCCTGGTATGGATCAGAATCGGGTGTGTTATTGGAACTATTTTCTATTCGTTCAGGAGCAACGTCAGAATTTGAAGTATTATCGGATATATTAGATGCCGAAGTATCGTTAGAATTTTTCATTTCGGTAGAGGTGGTATTAACTGAAGATTGATCGATTTCCTTGGCGTCATCATCTGATTTGTTCTTTTCATCGGTTTGCGATTGCTTCTGTTCTAATTTCGCAACTCTAGCTTTAAGCTCAGCATTTTCAACAGCAGTATCTTTATCATTCTGCTCCAGTTTCGCAAATCTGGATTCATGTTCTTCCAAAACTTGTTTTAATTTTACGTTCTCAGCTTTAAGTTCATTGTTCTCGGCCTCAACTTCAGAAAATTTTTTTCCAAGTTCAGGAATTTCAGTATCCTCCTTTCTAAGTTCAGTAATCTCGGATGCAAGCCTAGAGTTTAATTCTCTCAGGTATTGATTGTTAATTGATCATTCAACATTGTTTTATAAAAGATGTGGATATATTTAAAAGGTTAACCACACGAAAAAATATTGGTAATAATCGTGATAACACGCCTTTGCTTTATTGATTGTAATAAAAATTGAAAAGAATCAAATCTATCCATTGTTACAATACTAATGCCTACACTATAAATTTTCCATATATCTAAATTATCTAAACTACAACATTAATTATGATCCAGTTTCATTTGTTATCAATATTCTGGATAGATTAAAAATGGTTATTAGATGTACGATGCGTGTAAACCCTAATGTGTATCAGTGGAAGACGATCGATTATTAGCTCGTGACCATCTTGGTCACGGTGTTCTGTCATGTGTTAATATAGAATGTCATGGAAATTTCGTACTGCCAAAATAGATACGTGAATATTTTTTCCACGCGTATTGGCGGTCTTCCATGATTTGAAAGGTTGAGTATGATTTTACTTTTTGTGCTTCTTTCAAACCCGGCGTTTCCCCGACCTGTAAATCCTGAGGGGTACTTCTTCCTCTGGTGTTGTTGGCGAAATGGCCAGATAGCGATTTTCAATGGATATTATAAGGTTCTGGTTCTTTAAATCCAGTGTTTCCCCGACTTGTAAATCCTGAGGGGTACTTCTTCCTCTGGTGTTGCTGGCGAAACAGCTATATACTGTGGCGATCTTATAATTATCCGGAGAAAGTTTCGGGTTAAAAAATAAATACCGTTTCTCAAAGTTATTATTTGATTTACTTACTATATTTTATTTTTTATAGGCATTATGGTTCGTGTTAAATATCATCACATTTATTGATCACCGTATTGGACATTAATATATATATATTATCCACAGGCTTATGTTGAACTTTTGAAAGAAATTATATTCGATGAAGACTTTACTGTTCAATTTTATAAAAAAATAAAATTTTCTTTTTTTCAAAAGACTCAAGCAGAGGGAGTTTTATACGAAGCACTGAAGACCGTCGCTTCTGAAAATAATACGAAGGCTCGGAAATTGTTAGTAAATTCTAACGAACTTATCAACTCTAAGTATTCTGCCATTTTGCTATATATACAGTATATGACAAAAAAATTTTTGAAACTTATGCTAGATTTGGTTAATAATAAACTCTTTGTTATATTTTCCAATTTCCAATTGATATTTTGAATTGAATATTTATTATATCATTAAAAAAATATATATTATAGGAAATATATCTTTGTATCGGATCATTGAATATACTATCCTCTAGTTAATATGGTTTTTGACTAAAAACTCAATTTCAGGCTTAAGCTTTAATTCTATAGCTTTTTTTTTGGCTTCTTCATGAGATATTTCTCTTGCTATAAATTTCTTATATGCTATAATATTCCAATCCCAAATACTAATATAGTAATTCCATCTGATAAAATCCATTTCTTAGTATCTAAAGGACTAATCCCAATTTTAGATGAATGAAAAAGCCTAATAGTATGATTTTTACTTCCTAATCTATGCATTATTATCATAACTTTTTTTTAGATTTTAAACAATCTTCATACATATTATGAGTAAGGTTCTTTTTTATTATTACCTTTTGTACTCCTTTAGCTTATTAATTTGTTTTTCCATTAAGCAAGAATATAATTATAAAGTTTAAATCTTGATTCACAAAATTTTCATATAGCAGTACTATAACTTTCATCCTTATACTTATCAAAGACTTTCTTATTCAATCCAATTTTTTTCCAAAAGCTTTATATACAGGATGATCTAGTATATAATCACTAAAATCAAAATATTTATATACTTTTACTATATCATTATATATATTCTTAGTTTGGATAAGTAGAATAAGTGAATTAGTATTAGTATATATCAACTCTACATTATTTTTATATTATTCTTTTATAACATTATAATAGAAATTATATATTGTGATTTTGCTTTATTAAGAACAGTCATCCCAATAAAAATAGGTTTATTAAGTCTAACTTTTGTTTGATGATAAGAAATACTTATTAAATTCTTTGTCAAAATTCTATAGAACTTGTAACTAGAATCAGCTACTAATCTTTTAAATTTTTTTGATTCTTCTTCTAGTTTAACAAAGTTCACTCATTGATATTTATATATTTTTTCTACAGTTTTTTCATAGTTAGTATTACCTAAAAGCTTATATATATTTTTTATAGTTTTTCATAGTTATCATTACCTAAATGCTTATATATATTTTTTTCAAAATTATTCTTAGCTAAAGCACAAGATTTTACTAATTCTTTTATAAAATACTTCATCTATAAAGTTTGGTTAAATTTTATATCTTGATAAATTTTGATAAATACCATTTTCTGCTTTATATAAAATTATAATATATGATAATAAACTATATACTTCTTCTTATTATTGAGATTGAAGATGAGTTTTTTAGCCTTTATATAATGTTTTAAATCATTAATAATTTTTTGTCCATACTTACTTGTTTTTTTTTTTGAAAATCTTAATATTTTCAAAAGTTAAAAAATATGAAGTATAAGTTTTATATAATTTATATGGATAGTTAAAGTCTATCTCAAGAATATAACTTTTAACTATATCATCAAGGATTTTATATTTAGTAATTTTATTAAAAAGATTTGAAATTTTTTCAGGTATTCTTTATATATATTTTTCTGTTGATATATAAAGAACTTTTTAATAGTTTTTTTTAATTTTAATTAAAATTGAGACATTAAAAATTGTTAGCTTTAATTCTTTGATTACTTATCATTGTAATATCTCCTTGAATACCTTTCTTACAGAGAAGATACATGTTATTATTTATAAATAATTCAATTTCTTATCCTATAGTTTTATATAAAATATCTTTTGCAAATGAAGAGAGATATACAATATATAATAAGATATATTATAACCAAATTTATCTTTTATTAATTTTTGAAATCTATCTAAACAATCTACTAATAATAATATATTGAGTTTCAAATATAAATCATAATATTCTTGAAATGATTTCATATTAATGTTTTTTATACTTCTTGTACTCTTTTATATACTTTTTTTGAACATTTAGATTTGTCAAAAATACTGTTGAAAGCTTCAATAAGAAATAAGGAAGACATGTTTATTTTTTTTAATATATTAAATCAATTATAAGATAAAATATTTTTATGAAATACTAGATCATCTCTTCTTTTTGATTCATATTCTCTAGTTATAAAAAATCTCTTTTAATGGATAAAGCATTTATCAAAATCAATTTGATAAAGGAGGTCTGATTTTTTATATAATAAGTTTAGAAATTTTTCATTCTTATCTACTTCTTTTTTACATGATTCAGCTTCTAAGTTAAATATATGAAAGTCTAGATTTCTTGACATAAGTTGCAGAAAATCCATATATCTTTAATTTCCAATATTGAGATTAAAATAGTTTTCTATATTATGCAGAATAATACTTATTTTTTCTTTACTTATCTTTTTCATAGCTTGAAAAATTAGATAAACATTAAACTTATTTAAATTATAAAAATAAATTAATAATTTAAACTTTTTGATTTTATTTATAGTTGTAGATAGTCATGATAATATACTTTTTCATTTTATTCTCTTTTTCAAATAGCTTTTTATATATACAGTATAATATTTTTTGACTAAATTATAAGTTTTTTTTTCTTGAATAATTAATTTTTTCATTAGTTCTCTAGGCCATTAGAGCTTAAAATAAATTGTATTTGCAAGTCAGGATATTATTATTATTCTTCTTTTTTTTCAAGTGAAAGATGCTTTGTGCATATGCATTTTATTGAGTAATTTATATCCAATTATAGATACACTAAGGTCTATTTAAATTAACCTCGCTTCTACACCTATAGACTTACCCAGTATACCAATTGAACATCTTGAAGGTAGATCCGTACCTTGGGTGGGATCTTTAGGGGATAGAAAATCTTACCGCTAGTTTATAAACTATCTAATCTAATTTAGATCCTGTCTCGACTGCATCCGTCATGAGTGAGGCACAATTATTACCTTTCAGGAATATGATTGTACAACACCCAAATATCCCCATATATATTTTTTATCCAGAACCTCGAAGAAGATAAATCACTCTTTGTCACCACCTGCGGCTTCCAATTATATCAAGTACCTTATTCGAGATATAATCTTCTTTTAAACAAGCGCCGAATTGGGATAGCCCCAGGCTAGGATGTTCTTTGTGTGATGGAGTCTGCCGTTGCCAGTTTTAATTAGAGTTGTAGGCTTATACCAGAGTTAGACCAGAAGCCTTTCTTTGTGCAACCTTCCTTGATTTGACCTGTTTTCAGCCTGCGATCGTCAGGAAGACCAGAAGTCTCATATTCATGCAGCCTAGCTAAATTTGGAAATGGATTGTTGGCTGATTAGGTATGACATGAATTGGAAGCCAGTTAACCAATCATAAAGGTGATAATTTTTTTGTAACCAGGTGAGTTTGAACCTTAGACCTTCTCCTGGTGACCTATGGGGCATTACTACTGTGCCATGGACCCATAGGTCATTGTCAGTATATTATTTCTATATTTAGTTCAAAGAGATCTCTTCTATAAACTTGGTAAATACATTTTAAGTAATGTTTAATATGTATTAATTTCTTATACTTTTTAGTAGAACTGAAAAAAATATTGATTAATTTTTATGTTTTAATTATGCTAATATAATTAATATAATTTTCTACTATCTTTTTTAGTAATATTCCTGATTGTATCATGTAGATTAATTTCTTTGCAGAATTTCAAATTACATAATCTTCTGCAAGAAAATATTGACATTGCTTTATTTCTTTTTCTATTATTTTAATAAACTCTTCAGTTGAATTCATTGCTGAAACTGCCCAATTTTTATAAACATCACTACTTAATTGCCACTTAATAGTTACTTAATAGTCAAATA